CCCCAAAACCCCAAAACCCCAAAACCCCAAAACCCCAAAAGTAAAATATGTAATGGCACTGTTAACTAATCAATCTATAATCAATAAGAAATGGCTTCTCTATCCTTCATACATGCTCGATTCAAGTTTGAACACATATAGTTACGGGATAGAGTAACCACTCTTAAACATTGTTGGCATGAGTCCTGTCTGTGTATCAAATAATTCCATCTCTAAAAATGCAGTAACTTTATTCGTCTGACAAAATTTCTTAAAATTCTTACGCATCTCATGTTTCTGTATAAGATCGATTAGCTTCTTCAATTCAGATAGTTTAGGTAGTCTATTCTTTTCAAGTTTGGCTTCTAATTCTTCTACCATTTTTCCAGATGTCGATTTATGACCCATTGTGAGTAACCATGCAAATAGAAGAAAAGGTGATTTCACCTTAAAATCATCTCTGGCTTTCTTATGCTCCTGTGAAATGGATTTTTCAGGGTCTCCAAAGGGATAAAAAAGTGGAATGAACCTATATAAAAATACTTGTGCTTTGCCTTCGAGTGTATTCTTTGTTTTTGATTTAAATACGAGGTTCAAACCCTTCCAAGAGAGACAGATCATTCATAATTCGTTTGACTGAGTTTATCTTCGATGTGTATTGCAAATCTGATCTAGTTTCTGGGGGTGGCTTGGAATCTGTTTCTTTTTCTTCCTTATTTTCCTCTTTATTCATTGTGACCACCCTCTTTCTTGACCCAGAATTCTGACTTTTTCTCTTCTTTGTTTCTAGTTCCTTATAGGCCTCCTTCATTTTCTCCTTGTCCTTCTCAATAATATCCTTAAAGAACTGTTTAATATTATTCTTAATTTGAAAACCAAAGAGTTTGGCAAATTGCTCCATCTTGGCATAAAATTGATCTAACCATTCTGAAGAAGCTTCTGATTTCTTATATCCAGAGTTAGTGAATACCTTTTCTTCCTCTAAGTTGCTCTTAATCTCTTCCTTCTTCGATTTGGGGGTCTCTGAGACTGAAAGAGAGTTCGAATTATTTGATCAGATTTTGCTCTTAGGGATCCTTGGTGAGTTCATGGTTGCCCTTTTGGAGATCCATTAATGAAGAAGATTTTATACTACCCTCTCAATCTTTAGCAGAGGTCTCCATGGTTGAAGAAGATTCAGAGCTTATTAAATTATTTTTTAAATCGTTTGAGGCTCTTCTTTGTGGACTTAGCAGACTCCCATCTGTCTCAGAATTGAAACAATTAATCGGCAGATTAAAACTGTGAGAAAAACTTTTCTTGCTTGGCAAGTTAGAAGCACAAAGATTCTCTATTACATTTGAGGGATTTCTGCCAGAATCCATCTCTGATCTATCATTTCTCTTTTGAATAAGCCAAGGCTGATAAAAAACAGCCTTAAAATGATCCTCCTTAATTTCTTCCAGCCGTTGTGCAATACAATTCAAAGGATGCAGGTCTCTGAACCTCTGATTTCCGCTCCAAAAATCCTCACTATCCCTTCCGGACAGTGCTCTTCTAAACAAAATCATTCACCCACCTTTCTACCCAACCCCTATACCCCCAAATACCACCAATTGCTTACCTTTCAAATTCCCACAAGTGTTAATCTCCAGGCTGTGAAGGCCATTGGCCTTGAGCCAATTGTGAATTTAGATTCATTTCTAAATTATATTATAAATAAGATCTTGGGCACAACATTAAGGATTTTGAATGGGGTTTTGGGGTTTTGGGGTTTTGGGGTTTTGGGGTTTTGGGG